GGAGCCCCCAGCCGTCACCATGTTGGGTTTCAGCAGCGTCCCTTCCAGGTACACATGATGATCATTCAAGGCCTTGTAGACAGCAGCCAGAACCTGAAAACAGAGGATTGAATACATACCTCTGCTCAAACCTTCACCTCAGCCTGCTGTGGAAAGACAGCTTATTCCTTGGGAGTGCGAGAAGATCAAATTGAAATTTGCTTTCTCATGAAATTTATCACAGGGGTTGCAGCCCTGGAGACACCACTGCTTTTTGAGATGACCAGGATACCACTCTTCCTGTTTACTGGATTTGTCCCTGCAAACTGAGGTACTGAAAGAGGGGTAAGTGTTTTTCCCCCCAATCCATCTTCTTAAGATTGAGAATGCTTACATTGGCAGTTTGAGTGGAAATCCAAAAGCATGGATTCTACTCTCGCGTTTGCTATTAACTCATTATTTGACCGTGAGCAACTATTTTTGTGATGCAGTTATGGAGTACCTTTTTGGTCAAAACTCTTTGAGATCTGTGAACACAAACTCTGCATACGATTAGCTACTGATCTGTGAAGGGGAGGAGAGTGGCAGGAATCTCTTACCTTTTCTGTGACATACTGACAGCGCTGGAGATCATGGTCTCCATCAGGCAAGATTTCTGGCTCCACAATGGGCACCAAGCCATGCTAAGAAAAGAAAAACAGGGAAGTTTTGGGGAGTATGGAAGAAAAATTGTCCTTGTTGTCTACCCCGACTTTGTTGGTATTCCCTCTCGCCATGTTGCCCTTCTTCCTCATCTTTCCGAAAATCCTCACAGAGATCCGCTTTTCAAGTTATCTAGCACGCTATCACAGGGAACAGTGAGACGGGGCAACAGCATCTCAGGAAAGGTTGCTGGAGGACAGATACCTGTTGGCAGATGCTGGCATAGCGTGCCAATGTGTTGGCATTCTCTTGGATGGCAAGTTGAGAGGGTGTTGTGCTGGTGATCTTCAGCACTGCACGCCACTTGCCAAAGTCAGCACCGTCTTTCTTGTACTGGGCGCAGCGCTCAGCCAGTCCATCCAGCCCTGTAGGTGAAAGAACAGTGCTTCCCTGAGAGCAGTTCTTCAGCACATAGCGCGGAAAAGTACCATGACACCAGCCAAGGCTGCGACTCAGGTGAGTCACTCCATGGCTTTTGCTGCACCAGTCATAGCTTAGGCTCCTTAGATCTCTCCTTATCTCTTACCTTGGATGGTGGTTTCTCCATTTGTTCCTGCTAGGGGTGCTGTGCCTTTATCCAGCTGTGGAGACCAGAAAAACAGGAAGGGTTACAGAGAGATGGAGATCAGTCTCATTGTTATCTTCTTACCCACAGCTAGTCTCTTTGCAGGCTGACTGTGAGTGAAGTATGGGGCTGAACACGCTAAGGGTGCAAAGGTGGGAAATGGTGGAGCAAAGGGGAAGAAAAGTCATGAATTGGGTAAGAGGAAGGGGCAACGTGTGGGGGAAGGGGCAATGGCTGCAGGGAATGGCTCGAGCTCTGTCAGATGCGGAAAGGACTGGATTTAGTTTACTGCATGGAGGGATTTAATTGCAGTGAATGGTGAGTAGATGGGAGTTGGTGGATGAAAAGTTCCTGCAGATGTGGGAAATGCAGATGTGCCCCTGGTTAGTTGTACAAAAGCAATGCAGAGAATAGTGGCAGAGATCCTTTACTGATGTAAAAACCGAGCACAAAAAAGAACAAGTGTTTGGCAGGAGAGTGCAGGCCCATGTATAATTTTCACTGGAAACGGGGTTTGGAGTATGCTGCCAGCCAGACATCTACAGATACTCACCTTTATTCCCACCACGATGCCTTTTTCTTTGATGAGAGCTGGCAATGGCTTTCCACTGCTGTCTTTCTGATAGAGAGTCTCGTGGAAGAGGATCACTCCCCCAATGCTCTGGTTGATGGAAGCATCTGAAGAGAAGAGGATCTCTCG